TGTACTTTTTGTGTGTACGTCCTGCAAGTGAAACGGTGAAACTTCTTTTGAACTTGCTGTTTTATTTCAGTGGAAATAGCATGGAATAACCATGGAACGTATCTTTGCGTTTTTCCTGCTTAAGATTCCCCACAGGAACAGAATCAGCTTTCTGCTGCAGTGGAATTGATTAGAGTATAGGTCAACTCACCTATTGATTCCAGTTTCTACTGCATTTCTGAGATCTGGGTTTTTTTTTTGTTTTCCTTCCTCCATTAGTTTCAAGTTGGTGGGTAAAATTTCCCTTTATGCTAAAGATGAAAATAAAATAGGTATGGGAATCTAATTTCCTGTGGGGAAATTAAATTTTGTTTTTTCGTTAGTGTTCAAAAGGGATTTTGTAAGCATAACAATGCATTTTTATCTGAATGCTCCTAAAAGTGCATTGGCTCCGGTTTGCCAGGAGTGTATGTGGAGCTAAACTGGTGCTCTATAGATATTTCACACTAGCACTTCATGCACCAAAGTATTCAGGTACTGTGAATCTAACAGGCTGTGTTTTTGACCCAAGAAAGCACATTGAGCATGTGTTGTTTAGACAGTAGGAAGTCTAGATACATCGTGTTTACACTTAATGATCATTATGTTCCATCAACAAATTTCTATTTCTAGCTAAGGGAAGCATCTTTTAAAAAAAGAAGTGTGGAGGGGAAGCGAAAAAAAAAAAAAAAAAGATGTAGGCAGGGCGAAGCATTGTGTACCAGGATGTGTGGTGTTCTTGTACTGGCATCTTTAGCTCATTGGCAGTTATCCCAGGGATTTCAGTGAGAGCTTCTTGCAGAACTTTTTGTTCATTCTTTGGGCATTGTGTGTGCTATCTCCAGGCTGCGTGTCTGCCATTCTCCTTCTGTAACCCAGAAAGACTGGGGTATGTGCTTTCAGATATTTGTGAGCCTGGTGGCCACTGAGTTAAGAATTTATAAAGCTGGCTTGTATGGAGAGAACTACAACCAGTGGATGTCATAATATAAAAGGTTGCACTTTAACTCTTCACAGTTTGTTTGCTGGTGGCCTAATTTCAGTGCAGTTACATGAAGGTTACTTGTTACATGGTAGGATAATTTTCAGAAAGTTGAGGGGTGGTGGGTGGTTTTTTTTTTTTTTTTTGGTTGTTGTTGTTTTCGTTTGCTATTTGCTTATTTGTGTGGTTTTTTTGGGGTTTAACATAACTACAGTATACTGAATCTCTTCTTGTCCTACAGCTCTTGTATCCTCTCCATTCTGAAACTCTTTTCTAACTGTTTTCCAGCTGCTTGTGGATTGACTCCACCACAAGGGAGAGAATTGGAAAAGTGAGAAAACTTGTGGGTTGAGATGAAGGCAGTTAAAGTGAAGGAAAGAGTAGGGAAGAACCCCAAGCGATGCAAAAGCGATCACTTGCCACCTCCCACAGGCAGATGGGTGCCCAGCCAGTGTCAGAACAATGGCTGTTTTGGAAAGATCAAACCAACAGTTTTTATTGCTGAGCATGATGTCATCTGCAATGAATTATCCTTTTGGTCAGCTATTCTGTTCACGTTCCTCCCGACCTGTTGTCCATCTCCAGCCCACTTGTGGTGGAATGGAGCACAGTGGGAAACAAGCAAGCACACTTCAACAATAGCTGAAACATAAGGGTGTTATCAACAATATTTTGGTCACAAACACAAAACACAACACTGTACAGGTTACTGTGAAGAAAGCTGAGTCTATCCCAGCAAGACCTAATACCCTTTACACTAAAATCACACAGTAATAGTGTTTTTCCTCAGCTGTTTTGGAGTTGTTACCGTTTGTGTTGCTTATTTTATATTTGAAGAATTACAGTTCGTTGAGTCTGTTCAGTGGGCTTAAAGGCTTGTTCATCTTTTAACTTGCCTTTTTCATTAATTTTTCCTAAACAGCGTTATTCCTGGTGTTCAGAAAATCTGGATTCGTACATGGGGATGTTCTCACAATAACTCGGACGGTGAATATATGGCTGGACAGCTGGCTGCATATGGATACAAAATTACAGGTAACGATATGACTTGAGTAATTCAGTTTTTCTGGGGTGAATGTTCAGAGCTGTCAAACTGACATCAAATGTTCTTGGTCTTAATTACAGTTTTAAAAAATCCCCTTCTGATCCCTTTCTGATTTGAAGGTGCGGAGGTAAAGTGTTTTCCTGGCATTAAACAGAACAATTACAAGAGGAGTGCTTTCAGAATGGTTAGATTATTTTGACAGGGCAGACATCTAATAGGTGTCATGCAGTGCCTTTTTTTTGGGCATTTTGCTTGCTAACTGAATTGAAAAGTTTTCCTAAGAGTGGAAGGGAAATGTATTAATTCTTGCTTTTCTAACTGCAAGCGGTGGAACCCAAGGGGGAGAGAGAGAAAGGCAGCGTGTTGTCACTTAATGGAGCGTGTATTTGCTGCTGGAGCAGAGGTGAACTACTCCAGATGAATGATCTTTTGTTTCAGGAGAGATGATCACTAGGGTGGAGGTGGGATGATACAGGTTCCAAAGAGCTGAAAATGCTATTTCTCCTTTCTTTCCAAGTACTTAAAAATGCTTCCCATCACTTTTTTCCGCCTTCCCAGTCCTAAAAAAAAACCAAGCCCCAAACTTGTGATTGTGCTGACCGCATTTCATCTCCCTAATGCGAAGTGTGTTGACATAAAAGTTGAAAAGTTAGATTAATGTTGTATTTCAATAGATAAGTATATATCTGAAACTTTTGGTCTAGCTTATGACTAGTAAAAATAGGAATAAATTTTCGTCTTAATTCAAGTTCAGGTCTGTCTTGCATTTAAACTTGCATCTGGCTTGTACTGAAAGACTGCAGAATTGTCTGTCCTGACATTTTTCTAAAAGTATTTTACTCCTGATTTCACAAAATGCTTGTTTCTTTTCTTGAACATCTCATGATGCCATTAAGCTTCTCATCTTCCTGTATTGCGATTGGTCTTTCCGCATTTGTGTAAGTAAAAATAAGATACCGAGTTATTCAATTGCCTGAGCCGTTTTATGGAACCCAGGTGATTCTTAAGTTATTAGCGCAGCTCTGGAGTAGTTGTGCTCATTCCACAGACAAATGGAGTGCTGGTCCAAAAAGCCTTATTTGTGACAGCTGTTTGTGTAAGATTACAAATGAATTCTTAGTTTGCTTTGTTATTGCTTTCTTAAATATAACTTCTCTTTACCTGCATTTTTCTAATGCATATTTTTCCAGGAGCTAATTTTGGCTTGTCAGAATTCAGATGGCTTTCCTGTGCTTTTGGAATTTTATTGGGAGAAATGTAGGGAAGATGGAGTGCAGTGAAGAAATGAACTACCTTAAATTTCTGATACCTTACCTTTTTAGAAAATTAAGTGTTTGTAACTTTAGAATAGAAGTAAGTCTACATCTAGAATCTGAAACTGAGAACTAAAAACTTAAGAAAAATTGCAATTGCAGGGACAGGAATACCTACAGAGTGATTTTGGTACTTGTATATGAAATCAACTTCTAGTTTCAGGTCATTGTTATATCGAAGTTTTGATTTAGTTAATTTCTGTTTATGTATATACATATATTAAATCAAACAAACCCCAGTCCTAGGTGGCAGGCAGAAATTATACAGTGTGGTTTCTTCTTTTTGAAACAAGGTAACTTCTTTTTAAGCTGAGATTATTTAGTGTTCTCTGGAAATTTCCTTTTTGTTCAATGGAACAAAAATATTGGCTACAAACTCTGGCTAAAGTAAATTTTTGCAAACGCATCTATTGAGCGTTCTCTTTAATAGGTGGTTAATGAAGCTGGAACTGAGTGCAAGTGTGGCAACTGTGTCAGAATCCGAGGTGGAAACCAGTGCTGTGGTTCAAAGCGACCTTAATAAACTAGAGAAAGGGCTAATGGAAGCCACGTGACATTTAGCAAAGGCAAATGCAAAATCCTGGGGTTGGCATAACTCCAGTTAAGGTGAGTGTGGGCAGACTGACTAGAAAGCAACTTCACAGAAGAAGATTGAGGTAGACAAGAAATGAACACGAGTCAGCAGTGAAGTCTTGTAGCAAAGAAGGCAAACTGCATCCTGGGCTGCGTTAGCAAGCATGTAGCCAGCAGGTCTGGGAAAACGATCCTTCTTCTGCGTGTAGTACTTGTGAGGTGGTGTTTGGAATGCTGTGTCCAGTAATCCAGCTTTGGCCGTTTTTTGGACTCTGCAGGGAAAGACAAAAGTTTGGTGTAATGGAGTGAGTCCAGTGGAGAGCCAAGATGGTTTGGGAACGCACAGTGTGTGAGAAGAGATTGGGAAGACTGGGTTTCTTCAGCTTTAAGAAGAGAAGGCTCATGGAAGATTCTAGTTGCAGACAGCAATGCCCAGTAGGAGGGTACAGAGAAAATGTTGTCAGTTGCTTGTCAAAGGTGTGCAGTCAGACGACAGAGTCTTGCTCTTGACAAAGTCTTGACAAAGTGGCAGTTCAGATTTTTAGCATCCAGTGCATAAGTTATTGCTCATGCCATCTGTTTTTTATTTTTGCCAATGTAGAAATTGTCCCAGTATTTCTCAAGTGTCTCGTGTAAATCTCTTCTTTAGAAAGCACGTTATATTTTTTTTTTATAGTAGGTCATCTGGGAAGTTCAGATACAGCGTTAAGTAGGGATTTAATCTCTTTGCCCTATACAGTGAATTAGCTAGTAGTAGTAACTATTGCTTGAAATAATCCAAATTTTGAACAATCTTGAAATTAAGCTTAATATTATTTACAGTATGGAGGATAGGAAAAAGAAAAAGAAAATGTTTTGCAAGAACTATTTTCTAAATCAATCCCTCTCTCTGTTACCAGAATTTGTTAGTTTAATGCAAAACTGTTATAAACTTGAGGAAAAGGTAGAAGTATTCACTAAGGTGAAAGATCATCTGTTGTTACAGTGTCTTGGACAGCTATTACTTAAATAAAAGTGTGTGGATTAATCAGTTTCCTACATGTTCCTAAGCTTTTGAGTCAACACTTACTGAAAAGGTGATAGAATAAAGTCCTGATTTTAGGGAATGAAGTGTGAGCTTTACTTACAATTATTGCTTCAGCATAAAGGAAATGGTCAAGCACTGTTTCTAGTGTCTTCTCTCTAATTGTAAGATTGAAAAGAAATAGAAGGACAAAAAGCAGCATCAGACAGATTATTGATGGTAAATAGAAGTTGTAACAGTGCAACTTGCCTTATAAGTTGACTTATCTGAAAGTGAACATTATATAATGTCCTCCTGGCTTTTCATGTGTTTTAAAAATGTTCTTCCTGTATAAGCAGCCTTTGTTGCTTTCAGGAGTGTCTATATCGAAAGGTGAAAGCTGAGGGCTGTACTACAATTTTTCACAGCAAGGACTACCTCTATCTGGGGAGAGAGTGGAGTGTGAATCAGCAACATCCAGATATTGCAAAACAGCAATAATGATCAAAAGTCATGGACTGCGTCATCTAAAAATTAGGTAAAGGGAAACCAGAAGAGGTGAACCTATTTTTGTATCTGCTCTTACAGGGTGAAGGTAGGCAGCATTCTGAACAAATCTTGCACACCATCCTGTGAGAACACAAAGCTCTTTTGTGAGTCTCAGCCACACAGAAATGTGCGGACCAGCTGCTATCAGTGTAGGGCTGTACCACGAGTACTTGTTGATCTTCTGAAAACAGTACAGCTGACAGTGGCTTTACTGGTTCTAAAACTGGTTTTGGTTTCTTGGCAGCTTGACTTGCAGTATAGTTTAGATATGCCTGCAAACCTACTGGAGTGTTCCCTTTGAGATACACCCTGGAGGAAGAAACTCTCATGGTGCAGACTGGTAATGCCTCCTGTGAAAAGCAGGAAGTGGGCGAACTGGGAGCTTTCAAATATTGGGAGCCAGATTTTTGTCTGGAACGGCAGTTCAATGTGTGTGCCACTTACAGTACTTTGCCTCTGAAAAGAGGAACTGAACATGTGTAGTCAGACGCAGAAGGCATTGACTTCTGAAGCAGGTAGTTGGGTTAGCATATGTTGACATCGGTAGGTTTCTGGTTCTCTGGATTTAATGGGTTTTGGTTCAGCCTTGAATGCATTTTGATGGATTGAGCTGTTAGGTGTGCTTGTTGTTTTGTAGTGACTGCTTCTGGCTTGAGGCTGTTCAGGTCCAAAGCATTCCCTCCTTGGTCATTGTAAAACATGCTGGGGGCAGAAAATGCATTGCTAGTGACAGTAGTGTTCATTCTTCTGATATTTCTAACTTTATCTTTTATGAAGAGGAATCAAAAACTGTTATTAAGCATTCAGCAAAGCTAAACCAGTGACAGCTTATCTGCACTACACTTTTGTGTTTTTTTAGAAATAAATGCTAGCACAGAACTTTTTACTCCTGTAGCTTGGGATTCTGGAAGCAGGAAGGGGTGGATTTGCTGTGTTGCTAATTCAGTTGTCTTGGCTTTGATTTGGCACCTAGAAACTAGGTTATATTATACTCTTAGCTTTACTTGTGCAGTTTTAGACTAGTCTTTGGTCAGGCTTCCTTTTTACTGTCTCAGGTTTTTTTTGTGAGGTTGTTGGATGGAAAGATGCTGTATAGAGGTCACTCCATTATTGTGATTGTGGTATTTGTTGGCAGGACTTGTATCAGTGAGATTTGCCAATTGCTATTGAAGCGTAGTGCTTATAGTCCAAGTTATATGTCTTGCAGCTCTATAAATCCCTGTGCAGGGAATTTATGTATTTCTCTAAAGCAAATATCAAATAATATTTTGAAACACTGTTAAAGAAATTTTCTGGGTTTTTTTGCCCCTTCTGCTTGTTAATTTTCTAAACACTTGTCAGTTTTGTTTACCAGTGGATATAGCTGAGGTATCCTTAAGACTGTCCATCTGCTTAAACAGCACATTTGAGTAGAAGAAAGAAGGAGGAAGACCAGGAAGAACAAATGCTCTTGATCTACTTAAGACCTCATGTTGAAAAGAAGACAGATGCAGAAAGAAACAGTCTGCTGTGGAAAAGTAGATGAGGTGCTGCAATCTAACATGGACTTCGGCGTTTAATGGCATTGTCTAGCGTTCGTTGTGTCGCATAAACCATTCCTGCTCAGGCTTTGGCCATCCCCATACACGCATGGCACAGCATGCTGCAGCATACATTTTATTCATCCAAGTGGAAAATAAAATTACTAAGACTGTACAGGTTGTGAATCACTTCAGAATGTGGTGCTTTGTTGTAAGTGTATTATTAAAGTACTTTTCTACTGCACAGTGAAATTTTAATGATTTTAGATTTTGATTTATTTTGCTGTCTTGAATTAGAGATCTCTTAAATAGTTTACTGTACTATTAAAATAAGCTTTCTGCAGCCTGCATAGTGGTTGATGAAGTATTTTGGCTAAGATTTCTGCTGATGTCTAGTGTATGCTTTTACTTGCTCAGAATCAGCAGTTGGTCTTTCCATTTTTTGCTCTCCACCCTGCTAATCGCGCTCATCTGTTCCTTCTTAGATATAATGTAAAACAGTAGTGATTACTGTGTAATTTTTGGGGTGAACCACCCTCATTGTGAGGTATTTTTAATATTCTTTTTTAATCTAAAAAGAATCTTTTATTAGGTGCTCTTTTAAGTGCCTTAACAATCGGAATTCAAAGTTAGCTTTTTTATTTGGATTTGTACTTCTCAAATGATTGTGAGTGCAGAGCCAGTTCATAAAAAAGGAGTCTCTGCAACCTTTTATGGGTGACAGGATGTGTGTGGTGTGTGTTTAAATATACAAAATACAACACCCCACTGCTTTTCTGGTGATGAGAGGTGTTTCTGTTTTCTGTGACAGCACTGCAGTCGTGAAACTGTCCTCTGAAGCAGCTGAGCAATAGAGGAGAGCGAACAGAGGTGTAAATGCTGCAGTACTTTCTACCCCCACTGAAGAATTCTATTGTCTATAACTTGTAGAGTCACAATCCTGTATGGTTTTTGCATTGCTTAATAACCTTACCTACAACAGATTTCTCTCAAGCTGACTCATAATCTGGATATAAAAGCTTTCGGGTGTTGATACTGAGAAAGGCAGTAAAGTAACTTATTTCTGTAACTGTTGTCTTAAGATAATTACCTTACCAGCGATATGGATTCCTGCTCTCAGAAGATCCGAGTTGCTGCTTGTCAGAAGTTTGCTTCGTGTATTGATTCCTGGTACTGAGGCTTGAAAACCCTTCTCGGTCACGCACACTTAGTGAGTGCTTTGGGTGTGGGTGGGCAGGTTTTCATCTGAAACTTTAGTGGTGAAGTGGCTTAAGAAGATGAGGAGAGAGGGTTAAATGGGACATGGGGGGAAGAAAACAGCTGGGGTGTAGCAGATGGAGTTACACAACTGTAGACGATCAAGATTTCACAGCTCTTTGGAGGAATAGGGGTATTCCCAGTGAAGCCCAAGTGTCCTATAAGCCAGCGAGTGGGATGATGAGTCTA